ACTGTTTTAAAATGAAAATATTCAACCGAGACCCAATCGTTCGAAATAATCTAAATCATGGAACTAATGTCGTGTTCAGACAACTGCTACGAAATCGGAGCGCAGATTATGAACGGATTTATCACCAGTCAGCGGCACCCGTGATCGCATTATCAACCTGAGAGGATCCGCGAAGATCTCTATCCAGCACGCGAGACGCGAGAATCGAGCAATGCGCGTCGATAACGCACGAAAAAGCAAAAGATAGAAACAAACGAGCATTGTTCCGAAGGATTTGAATAGCAAACGTTTTCTCCGGTACACGAGGAATCCCGTTTAATTAGCTTCTATCATCGCCGCCAGTGTTGCGTTTAATGTTAATTACCGGCGGTAATCATCGTACCGTGTCATCGATGTAGCAAAGATACGAAATTTCAGGGAAACTCCTGTTCCTTTCTCAACCTAGTTCCCTGCGTTACCGTCTCCACAATCGACTTGTTAAAAATAGTAGCAGTTGGATAACTGAAACTTTAAGAACACCGCAGAAATTTATCGCCTCTATTACGAGACTAAGAACTCTGAGAATTAATTAGGCCGCTATATTGTCCGCTGCCAGCGACGTCGCAGAAGTCGTTTATCTTGAACCGGTCGCGAATCATATCTTTTCGCAACGAACGAGGATTTATCGATCAAAATATTGTTTCTCCTCGGCGACCGAGCGAAACGGTCCGGCATTTTGTGTCTGGATTCATTACGGTTGCAGACTTGGAATTTCACTGAGATATTTTAGAGAACGTTGTCGGGTATTATACCATAAACCCTTATGTTAACAACCAAAAATCTGGGAACCTAGTTTTATGGTATTTGTACATTTTCTTCTATGCGTTATGTTTTAGTATTAATCTGACAATGTTGCTTTGATTTTCCTTTTTCGAATTCTTTCGCATCGATTTATGCTTTGAAAATAAAATATTCATAAAGAATTATATTTTTTTGGTATTTCTGTTAATTGATAAATTCTGGCTTTTGCAAAGAAATTGCGTGGAGCAGTTTCCACAGGGCAATCCAATACAGCATCAAACGATAGTAATAAATTGAAGGCTACAAGCGTCCGGTATTCCGAACGACTGGTTCGTCGAAAGAAGAATCGGCGCGCAACGACAATGACACTAGTGAATATACACCTATGCCGGCGCGATGGCGTTCGCATCGGCCATTAATTATCTTGTCCGAGATATTAATCGACGAGACAGCGGCAAGGAAAACAAGAAACAGTGTGGTTTCGCGGGCACCGATGACACATGACAGATAAATCTGTCGGTGGGAAGGATCCGTGAACAACTTTCTTATAGAATGGTACTCGACGAATTAAACAAATGAATGAATTATTCGTGGAAAATTAATTATTCGTTGAAAAAGTTCCAAATAAGTGTATTAGTTATCTTCGACAATGCCTGAAGGATACACTGGTTGCATTACGACATTTTGGATTCGCTCCAAAAGTAGATATGATACTTGAAGATGCAACGAAAAAGGACTGTAGATATGCACCATAAAAATAGCAATACGCATAATAGATAGTAGTGGTTGTATTCACAGAAATGAATAAAAACAATTATATTTGGCTCAAATGCAGTCTTATGATGAAACTTCTAAATCTTCCAAAAATATTTCAAAAAAACCCTTGGATATTGTCGTTACTCGCAAACTTCACCATATCAAAATAATATTTTGAAATAGGAACAAAAAATAGTAGTGAATGAAATAAGAAAAAGAATGAAAGATAATAGTAAATAAAATCAGAAATAGGAATAACATCTGATGAAAAAATGAACAATTAAATATTTTCTAAAATAATTTGTATCAAAACACTTGCTAAACCAAGATAATAAGAATCGAGATCATTTTCAAAGAAACGTCGATGGGTGTACTGGGAATTGATAATTAGCATAATTCATAATTCATTAATGCCACAGGGTAGTCCAATTTGAATAGAAGAAAACGGGCACGAGTTTAGCGCGAGGAATCGTTCCAGCAACGTCTAGGTCCCGGCGCCGCTTCCGGCGTGTTTCTGGTTCAGGAGATACGCGGTACTGATTTATAATCCGTCCGCGCGGTATAATTGCGAACGCAGGTAGAAGCTCAATTAATGACTCAATCCTCACTTTCAATTCGATTCCGATTCACCTTTCTCCTTGAGCCGATTCCGAGCTTCGGTATCGATGGTGTAATTTTGTGAGCTGGAATGTCGACTTTAATGCGGGATGCCAATAAAAAATGGCGCACGCATGTCGGAACAAATATAATTACGCTAATGGCTCACGATACTACATTTACTTTTCCCAAGCCGAGCATTAGCAAGAAAACTTTTATATATTCAAAGTCGCGATAATAACGTTAAAAGATCAGCTATTCACTTAAAGTATCATTTTTATATTATATTTATATTATATTTTTATATTGTCATTTACATTCCTAAACACTAGAATTATCGGATTCGTGAAAATCACTAATTTCTTATTCCTTCTTTCGCAATTATTAATCCTGCTGCATTCTTTTGGATCTCCTTCGACCCAACAAAGTTTTCATTTTCTTAACTCTTTACTTAATGTTCTTCGAGTTTGTTTCACGCAGTCGTTTCGATAAGAGTCATTTTGAATCCAAGAATGGTACTAGAAAATTATAATTAATCTACATATTCTCGGTTTTCAATAATACTTCAAACTTGCAGATGAATTGAGGTCTACGATAGAGTTAAAAAGACACAGATACTTTTCCATAAAAATATTCAAATTACTTAATTTCATAGTATTCAAGTTAAAATATAAGTGAATCCACATCACAATAAATACAATTCCATAATTCGTGAGGAAAAAATACAGAACAGTCGCATTGATTACTTGGTAGTTCTAGTCTCAGAGTAATCCAGTGCCCGCATTTGCGTGCAATTAACAAATCGGCAGTCTAGTCGCGCCCTGAACGATTGTAATTGCATTCCTTTCTCTCGGACGCGTTTCTTTATCCACTTACATACCCCCTTTCCGCGTCTCTGTCCGTACCTGTCAAACGACTCAATATAATCTCCCGAGTGTGTCGGAGTCGGTCCCCGACACACGGCTGCACGCGCATCGCTTTGCATTGCAGATGTCACTCGAGCCGCGAGGCGCAACGCAGACAGCAAGAATGCATAGCGTTTATGGGTGAGTATAGCGGGCAAGAGAGCGCTTTAATGCCCCGTCATCCCTTTCGAGACGGGAGGAACGCGAGCGATCTCCCGGGGACGCGAGGCTGTTCTCTGATGCAATCGCAGCATCGTTTTTGGCTTGTTCCGATGTAAAGAACTGAGTTGGTAAAGATGTAGAGATCCACTGCTTAACACTAAAAATACCGGGCGCATCAAATTGATCGACTTCAGAACTTTTATTTTGCAAGTATTCAAATTGTGAAGGCATTCTTGCGAAAGATTTTCAATTAAATTCGTGTGTTTGCACAGATATAAGACTAGGACACCCTTCTAATATAGTATTGGTCCAATTTTTATAGAACATCCGGAGCATTTTTTATCATTTTTGATGGGAAAAATCATTTCCTCATTTTCTCTACTTTGAATAATTATTTTTTCCATTATGCTACTGAAAGTTTGAATTAGAATAAAAATCTGCAATCTACTTTGCAGTAAGAATTCCACTGAGAACGACGTCGTCGTGCCGCTCGATTTCGCTCTTGTTCTCGGCCGCGCAGCTACCTTGACTCGAAAGGTAACGACTTCCTAATGACGATCGGCTTCGTGGAAGCGTGCAATCGATCTTCGTTCCCGGCCGCGGCTGCGGCGCCAGCGAATTCGACGAAGGAATGCGGAATTTACTCGGCCAGTCGGAAAATCGGGATCAATTTTCGTGGCTCGCGCCGGCTAATTGGTCACTTTCCGGCATCCCGTTTCCTCGTAACGCCGACAAACCGGTGTTTACGAGCCCCTTTATTTATTTCATTGTCCACCCAGAATTTCTTATTGTTCATTTTTGAAAGTACCAAATTTCGGTAAAGTAAATTGCAATGAGAGACTAAAGATCTTCGAATTATAGAACTTCCACGTTATCAAGTTTATCAATAAAATAGGTTTAATGAACCAAAAGTGGAGTTATGGAAATATTGTACGTATTGTACAATACTTATAGAAATAACAGTAACATAGTTATAACTCATACGTAAATACAGATTTCGAGTTGTAGAGGTTTAGCATTCGAATTGTAGAAGGTTTTAAAGCAGATCAGAAGGGAATGAAAAACGAAAAGTTATCAAAGTGCAATTTATCGAAGTATAATTTATCAAAGTTCAAGTTATGAAAGTTCAAATTATTAAATCTCAAGTCATAGAAATTCAAATTATCGGTATTTCAGTGCGTTTCGAAGATTAGTGCTTTCATGCCGTCTAAGAACGAATCAAACACACAATGAGAACCGCGGATAAAATTTATGGAACAGAAATCTTTATCGTGTCTGCGCATGATGAAATAGAATATTCCAGCGTTAATAACGCTTAAATCACTGCGTAGTATTTCCGGTAGGTAAGCTACCCCAAGACTAATGATTTTCTTCGCTCGGAAACGAAGAGTAAACCAAGGCAATGCGAAATTAATAATCTCCTTGAATTTATTCGCAATCATTATCACTAATATTTTCTAAGAACTTCTTTAAGCGTTAATATTTCACGTTGATGATAAACGGGCGCATTTATAATTCGCGTCTACACCGTGACGAGTTCATTATATATGTCGCTTCATTCCGTTTTACTGCCGCGATAATTTTAATGGTGTCGCGAAATATTTTGCGACTGTCCAGAATGCTCATATCTTAGCGCGCCAGATCGGAAATAGAAGAAATTAACGAAATGTGTGTAATTTTATACGCGACTTGCTGATAAGCGCGAAGGAAACGCCGAGCAAATTATACAGAGACTTCTAATTACTTTAGAGTCTCGCTTACTTAGAGAGGACACGTTATTAAGATAATTCGCATTCTTACCTGGAGGCAACCGCAGAAGGACTTCTTCACTCGCGATGGCATCGTCTGGCAGCGACCCACGAATTCCTTCAGGGGCTGTGGACTCTTCACGGGACAGGTCGGAATCCTCTGCAAATTAAAGAATACGAAAATTACTCGTTACGCCATCATCCCCTAAAAGAATTATACGTTCCTACGGAATCAAGCGCTTCTAACTTTGTTTTCTGCATTAGAAAACATTAAGAGAAAATTTGCACTTTGGAGAAAATTTACACCTCGGTGGAAAGTTTGCAAGGAACTTATGCAACGTATAAAAACGTTTCTCCGGTGGAAATTAAGTCTCTTGAAAGTTAAACTGATCAACCTCAACAATTGTGAATTGCTCTTTACATTTTATAATGTGGATTTTTTTAATCTTGTTACTTCTATGAATGAAATACATTGCAACCTGATTCTTATCTACCTAATTGTATGTGTAAGGTGTGAATAGAGGTAATGACTTCCAGTTCACACAAGAAATCCGTTTATACTTCGCGTTTACAATTAATTTCGAGGGAACCTACGATCTCGCTGAGTTCAGAAGACGAGCAGTGTGATTTAAACCCGCAATTCCGCCTGAAGCGTCAGACCTGTCGCGAGGAGCATTGCCCGCAGTCATGAAGGGGTTAAATAATTCATTATGCGATACGTATCCGATTGAACGTACCGAGTCGTATTTAAAAATAATAATGTCTGTGATATCATCAATTTTCTGGCTTTCGAATGACACTGCGGCTTCCGTTCATAATAAACACATCGATCAATGTCATCGCAAAAGTGAAACTCAAACAAATCACGTGTAGTAATTGATTAACAATTTCCAGGGAAATTCACGCGAAGTAATTCATTGAATATGTGTGACTTATTTTTTTCATGAAATGATCGCACGAAATTAACCGTTTGCAGTAAAAGTGCTGCAAATAAGACTGCAAGGAATTTAAAAGTATAGTTCCATTTAATATTGATGACATTAAGTTAATCATAGGAAATTTTCTTGCCGAGTGAGTTGCAAAGTATTATTGTTTTCGATAATGGATTTTGTCTTATGAAAATTAAAGAACCACTGCTCTAAAGCGTTATAATTGGTAACAGCAGAATACTATTAAATTTACACTTAACAACATTTAATGATATTTACACTTGTTAAGTTTTGATTAGAATGTTCGTCACGAGTCTGCAACGATATTAGAAGATAAGGGGCTAACAGCTATCTCGTTAGAGGTTGATTAATTGCGAATTCCAGCGATACGCGAGAACGGAAGTCCTCCGGAGCCGCGTTCCATCGTGGAAACTCGAGTATCCGAGAGGAAAAAGCCGCTTCTCGGCTTTCACTGGTCTTTGTCTAATATGAGTTCTTACGTCGGATCGTTGTTAAGGGAACAGGTAGGATAAGTCGTTACGGAACCGTGGATGTAACACGGCTTTTATGCGACGGTGTCGTAACGCTGGCTGCCCTGTCATCCGTTACAAGGAAGTTCAATGTCCTTGTCTAACGGACGTCAAAAAGATGAAAATCGCGACAGTTTTACGTTCACCGGGTAAGATGAGTCCACTCAACAGACTCCAGAACGAAAGAAGTTGCTACCTTTGTTTTGTCTTGGTATTGGACATTTTTGTTACCTTCAAAATGGCTATATCAATGACTATAGAAGCGACAGTCCTATTACCTTTGTATTGTGTTGCTATTACAAATTTTTGTTACCATTAAAATGGCAACATCCGACTATAGAAACAACAGTTTAATTATCTTCGCATTGTATTGGTATTGAATGGTTTTGTTACTTTTAAAATAGCTATAGAAAATACAGTTTGATTACTTCCGCATTGTGTTAGTATTGCAAATTTTTGTTACCTATAAAACGGCTAATAAAAATTAGCGATTCAATAGAATCGTAAACAGTAACGAGCAGAATCGGTGAAACGATAAATGGTGGTATGTATAATCGAAGGAATTGTAAATGCTAATAGACAGAATCGATAGAATCGTAAATGGTAAATGGTAATAAACAACGGAGCAGGCCTTGATCCATTTAGAAAGTGATCGTAGACAGGTGGGGCTGGTATTCACTCCGTTAATTGTATTCTTAAATTTTGTTGTATGGTTTGGATACTTTTTCATTTCTATAAAGATACAGGCCGGACACCGTGCAGCAAACTTGCCTTTTTATGGGATACACTTTCGTGCGAATTTATGGCAGGGAATGTTTTACGAGGTAAACCGTTCTTCCAGCGAAATTCTTAATTAAGGAATGGCCGTCTGGCGTTCATGGAATCCATGAATCTTCTCAGCGTCGTCTGGACATATTTAGATCGTTGTTCGGACGGACTGCGTGTCAACGACGGTCAATGAAGGTTTTGCGAAACTCGTTTCTTTCGGAGAACACTGTTCTTGCTTGTGCTAGTATTCTACACGGTGATTAGAAAGCCTTGCCCTTTAGTATATTGAAAGAAACTTTTTGATCTCCCTGTGCAGAATCAACAATTCATATTGGTACATAAATTTGAAATTTTTAAAACGTAATTGCTAAAATCGATGAAATTTTACAATTACTTCAGTACTTTTTTGAATATATACTAGTACATCTTTGCATATTTCTACAGTCAGTCTGTCCATGAACAATATTTACCTGGAAAAAATCAATTCCAACACGAATACACATAACAAATCATTCACTTTCAGATGTCCAGATAAGACTTGAAATATCACATTCATACACTGCCTCTTAATTAATCGCATCCTACACTCCCTAAAAAAATTAACATCTCTCGCTTGTCAAACAAAAATTCTTCAAAAGAAATCCTTTAGTTCCATACAAACCCGAAAGCTACAGTCTCCAAGTCAACTATATCAACAACCTCCACATTCCACTCATCATAAATTCCAAATTCATAAATCACACCTAAATGACCCATTAAGGCCAACCCGCAGCAAGCCAAAAGAAAAGTCGCGAACCATAATCTCATTCATCCAATTTAGTCCATTCTCGGAATGAAAAGCATCGTCGAACATCACATTACTGTCACAAAGTGTCATAAAATCCCCGGCGACCCGTTACGAGACACGCGAGCCTCTCCAAAGAATAATAATCGACCGGAAACAGGTTACACGATCACCTACACCGAAGAACCGCGACGTCTTCTCGGGTTCTGGGCAGGACTCGATGTCCTCGTGACGGCCGTTGGAAGACATGCGGCCGGATTCGATAGCTTTTTTCTCCGCTGGACACGGTGAAAGAGTGGCCCGAGGCGCCGGCACGATCCCGATCGTAATCGTTCCAGCAATTACCCGCGAATTTCACTTTTGTACGTCTCGAGCGAACGAGCGAGCGAACGAGTGAGCGCGCGGGCGCACTGGCGAGACACTGGCACTCGGCCGAAGAGGCTCGCAGACCGGCAACGAGGTCGGCTCGCTCGACAGTCCTTATCGTGTCATCGAATTTCTTATCACCGCTAGGTGGAAGGCGAAATAAAGAACTCGGTAATTTTCGCTCGTGCGGCTACATGTATTTTCACAGCGTCCTCTGGCTCACGTAATTGATAAACGAAGCCGGCTGGAAGGGGGGTCTAATCAGTCGCGTTTAGAACAGCAAGTAGCTGGGAACGTAGACAAAGGAATTTTGTTGGATTACCTTGGTAAGATAGCGAGCGATAGATTCGGATCGCGGTGTGTTCTGTATTGACGCGTTGATCTTCGTGATTTACGTTTGCTTCTGGGACAACGGAGCGTTCGCTTCGCGCATCAGAAGTTAGAGTATGTCGTAGGGATTCGTGGATTATTGGGGGATACGTCTAAAAATCAAATGTTTGCGGAAATTGCAATGAGTGACACGAGTTTTGTAGAAATTATTTTAAAGATCAATGATTAACGAATGAGAGCTTTCTAAGGAAGTTTTCAATGGGAATAGCAATTGCGAATCCTGTATCAATATATCATCTCAGTTAGCACAATCTAATGATTGTTATTCAAATTATAACGTAAAAGAAAACAATGAAACTTCTTTTTCTATATAGTACAGTCATTGGGAAGACTGTTAATAGGTTTACGATGGTTAAAGTGTCAAATAATTGCTAATATCTCATTAATAGAATATTGTACTATTTCTTCATCCTATATTAACGTCTCAAATAATTTAGATTTATCCTTAACATTGATAAATAACGTAAAATGTTAGTTGTTATCAGAAACCCAATTATGAGTGTTTCCAAGAGATAAGGATCAAGGACGCAAAAAAGGCTTATCAATGTTTTCGGTGATCGTTAATTTTCGTACACCAACCGACTATTTACTCTTCGCGGGCTATCATTTCGTTAACACTAACAACGAGCCTCCGTTCGCTTGCGACATCGCGTTGAAATACTCTCGAGAGAAATTCGGAGTATGGCATTTCGTACATTAACAACAGTCTGGTTATACGCCCATTTTACTACATATCGATGATCCGTAAAAACGCCTGTCGGGACTTGCGAGGAATTCCACGTTCGGCGGCCGCTTTCCACGTTGCGGAAATTTATGGCCACGAGGAATCCCCTTATTGTTGCATTTTCATGGGGAACGTTGAGCAGCGAATATAAATGCCCGCAGTTAACACCTTTCTCTTAGAAAGCTCGGACCCACAGGAGGATTAACCCTTTCGCAGTTTAGGTCGCGCGATGGAAAGTACCGGACAGTTTAGAGCGTAATCCGCTAACGACTTAATAGCAACGGATTTCATGCATTTATTGTGTCCCGTGTGCTCGTTGGTACACGTAGATTACAAGAAACGGACGATGCTAAACGCCACTGCATTATTGTTGCTTCATTACCGTCGAAAGTCCTGTTTTAGTTATTAATAACAGAGTGATACATCTGTTGCCGACAACTTCTTTGGTTCGAAACATATGAAAGATGTATAGTATCTTGAAAATCAAGATATATTTATAGAAATATTAGATATTTTCATTTCGTATCTTATTATTAGTCATTAATTTGTTTCTATTCGCTTTTATATGAATTTTTTGGAAAATCGCTAATGAATTCAAGGCATTTAATTTTTATCCTGTTAATTCTGTTCTATAATCTGTGATTTCCTTCTATTTCTTTATGCTAACGC